GATCCACCCCCCCTCAGCCTCCCAAAGTGCTGAGATTACAGGCGTGAGCCACTGTGCCCGGCCCTTGTATTTTTAGTAGAGACGGGGTTTCACCTTGTTGACCAGGGTGGTCTCAATCTCTTGACCTCGTGATCCACCCACCTCAGCCTCCCAAAGTGCTGGGATTACAGGCTTGAGCCACCACGCCCGACCCCTTTTTTTTTTTTTAGAAGGAGTTTCATTCTTGTTGCCCAGGCCGGAGTGCAATGGCATGATCTTGGCTCACCACAACCTCTGCCTCCCAAGTAGCTGCGACTACAGGCATGCCACCATGACCAGCTAATTTTAGAGATAGGGTTTTACCATGTTGGTCAGGCTGGTCTTGAACTCCTGACCTCAGGTGATCCACCTGCTTTGCCTCCCAAAGTACTGGGATTACAATTGTGAACCACCGTGCCTAACCAGCATCATTCTTAAGAGCCCTTGAGTTTTTGGAATGGTAAATGAGAATAGGCTTCAACTTAAAGTCATCGGCTGCATTAGCCCTAACAAGAGAGTCAGCCTGTCCTTTGAAGCCAGGCATTAATTTTTCTCTAGCTATGAAATTCCTAGATGGTATATTCTTCCAATATAAGGCTGTTTTGTCTACACTGAAATATCTGTGGTCTGGTATAATGGTTCATGCCTGTAATCTCAGCACTTTGGGATGCTGAGGTGGGAGGCTCACTTAAGCCCAGGAGTCCAAGACCAGCCTGGACAACAAAGTGAGATTCTGTCCCTACAAAAAATAAAAATTAAAAAAGAAAAACTGTTGTTCAGTGTATCCACCTTCACCCATGATCTTAGCAGTATCTTCTGGATAACTTGCTGCAGCTTCTCCATCAGCACTCGCTTCTTCACCTTGCACATTTTTGTTTTGGAGATGGCGTTTTTCCTTAATCCTCATGAACCAACCTCTGCTAGCTTCAGACTTTTCTTCCATTGCTTCCAGCACTCTCTCAGCCTTCACTGAATTGAAGAGAATTAGGGCTTTGCTCTGGATTAGGCTTTGGCTTACGAGAATGTTGTGGTTGGTTTAATCTATCCAGACCACTCAGACTTTCTCCATTTCAGTAATAAGGCTGTTTCATTGTCTTATCATTTGTGTGTTCACTGGAGTAGCACTTTTAATTTCCTTCAAACACTTTTTCTGGCCAGGGGCAGTGTCTCACTCCTGCAATCCCAGCACTTTGGGAGGCTGAGATGGGTGGATCATTTGAGGTCAGGAGTTTGAGATCAGCCTAGCCAACACAATAAAACCCTGTCTCTACTTAAAAATAGAAAAATTAGCCTAGCCAGGCATGGTGGTGGGTACCTGTAATCCCAGCTACTTAAGAGGCTGACACAGGAGAATCGCTTGAACCCGGGAGGCGGAGGTTGTAGTGAGCCGAGATTGTGCCACTACACTCCAGCCTGGGCAACAGTGAGATTTCATCTTGGAAAAAAAAAAAAAGAATTTTTTCTTTGTATTCACAACTTCGCTAACTGTTCAGTGCAAGAAACCTAGCTTTTGGCTGTCCTCAGCTTTTGATATGCCCTACTCAGTAAGTTTAATCATTTCCAGCTTTTGATTGAAAGTGAGAGACATGTGACTTTTCCTTTCACTTGAACACTTAGCGGCCATTGTAGGGTTATTAATTGACCTAATTTCAATGTTATTGTGTCTAAAAAATAGGGAGGCCTGAGGTAAGGGAGAGAGAAGTGGGAATGAGTGGTTGGTGGAGCAGCCAGAACACATAAAACATTTATGTGTTAAGTTTGCTGTTGTATGTAGATGGATATGGTTCATGATACCCCAAAACAATTACAATAGTAACATCAAAGATCACTGATCACAGATCACCTGATACAATAATAATGGAAAAGTTTGAAATATCATAAGAATTAGAAAAATGTGACACAGAGACATGAAGTAAGTACTGCTGGAAAAATGGCACACACAGACTTGCTTGATTCACGGTTACCACAAACCTTCAGTTTATAAAACGCAGTACAGCAAAATGAAGGACAATAAAACAGAGGTGTTCCTATCTCTGCTACTCACCTGTGACTAACTTACTAGTGTCTTGGTTACCAGATCAAAAAAGCACAATAGATATAGGATTTGGTACTATTTATTGTTTTAGGCATTCACTGGGGTTCTAGGAATGTGTCCCCTGAGATAAGGGGGAATTACTATATTACAGGACATCTGAGGTAAGCGATAGAAATGATGTAACTGTGGCATTTTTATTACTGATAACCCAGCTTTTAGGCCAAGGGAGACTATCAGAGGTAAAATGAAAGAAGGGGAGATGGTGATTACTGGACCCAGGGAAAAGATATAAAGGTTTACTGTGCATAAAACTGTCTTTTTTTTTTTTTTGAGACAGAGTCTTGCTCTGTTGCTGAGGCTGGAGTGCAGTGCTGTGATCTCGGCTCACTGTATCCTCCACCTCCCGGGTTCAAGCGATTCTTCTGCCTCAGCCTCCCGAGTAGCTGGGATTACAGGTGTACAGGTGTACACCACCATGCTTGGCTGATTTTTGTATTTTTAATAAAGACAGGGTTTCACCATGTTAGGCTAGTCTTGAACTCTTGACCTCAAGTGATCTACCTGCCTCAACCTCCCAAAGTTCTGGGATTATAGGCATGAGCCACTGTGCCCGGCCAACACTGTCTTTTTAATGCCAGAAACTAAAAGGAGATATGTCCAAGGGGAAAGGATATATTAAATTTGATGAGAGTTCATTAATGACCAAAAATTTCAACTCAGAGCTGGGACGCCCTCAGTTTCTTTCTTTTAACCTTCCCAATCCCTCCACCCCACATCATTCTTCAGCAATCAACTGAATTTCTTACTAAAATAAGAAAATATTAGTATGAATCATAAATAAGAATAGAAAATAAATAAATAAAAAATGTGAAAGAAAGAAGCAAAAAGGTAAAAAGAAAAAACCATTACACCTTTAATTCCAGCCCTTTGGGAGGCTGAGGTGGGCAGATCACCTGAGGTCAGGAGTTGGAGACCAGCCTGGCCAACATGGGGAAACCCCATCTCCACTCAAAATACGAAAAATTAGCTAGGCATGGTGGTGGGTGCCTGTAATCTCAGCAACTCGGGAGACTGAGGCGGGAGAACTGCTTGAACCTGGAAGATAGAGGTTGCAGTTAGCTGAGATAGTGCCATTGCACTCCAGCCTAGGCAACAAGAGCGAAACTCCATCTCAAAAAAACAAAACAAAACTCTGAAAAACAATCCAAGGAAACAAATGAAAAGTTCTAACAACTAGTTCCATATAGTCTCAAAAAAAAATCAGATATTATGATCTCTCTACTAAAAATATCTATGAAGAGATGAAAGCATTTAAAGAAGACATTATGAAATAATCTAGGCTAGGTATGGTGGCACATGCTTCCAATCCGAACACTTGGGGAGGCTGAGTAGGCAGATTCCTTGAGGTCGGGAGTTTGCGACCATCCTGGACAACATGGTGACACTCTGCTCTACTAAAAATACAAAAATTAGCTGGGTGTGGTGGTGCGTACTAGTAATCCCAGCTACTTGGGAGGATGAGGTGGGAGGAGCACTTGAGGCTGCGAGGCAGAGGTTGCAGTGAGCCAAGATTGCACCACTGCACTCCAGCCTGGGTGACAGAGTGAGACCTCCCATCTCATAAAATAAAATATAAAATCTAGAGAGTTTTGAAAGCAAGCTGGCATAATGCCCTCAAGATTCATCCATGTTGCAGCATGTGTCAGAGGTCCGTCCTTTTTAAGGTTGAATAATATCCCATTGTATGTATTTACCACATTTTGTTTGTTGATTCATCTGTTAATGGATGTTTGGGTTGCCTCTACCTTTTGACTATTGTGAATAATGCTGTGAACATGGGTATACAAAGATCTCCTGAGTGTCTGCTTTCAGTTCTTTTATGTGTATATCCAGAATTACTGGATCATGTGGCAATTATAGTTTTCATTTTTTGAGGAACTGCCATACTGTTTTCCACAGCAGCCATTCTATTTTACATTCCTGCCAACAGTGCACAATGATTCTGATTTTTCCGCAACCTTGACAACACCTGTTACTTTCTTTTTTCTTTCTAATAGTAGCCATCCTGCTGCATGTAAGGTGAGGTAGCTCATTGTGGTTTTGATTTGCATTTCCCTAGTGATGAGTGTTGTTGAGCATCTTTTCATGTGCTTATTGGCCATTTATATATCTTCTTTAGGAAAATATTACTCAAGTTCTTTGCCTGTTTTTTGATCTTGTTGGTCTTTTGGTTTTTTCTTGTTGGTTTTTTGAGACAAAATCTTGCTTTGTCATCCAAACTGGAGTGCAGTGGGACAATCTTGGCTCACTGCAACCTCTGCCTCCTGGGTTCAAGCTATTCTCTTGCCTCAGCCTCCTGAATAGCTGGGACTACAGGTGCCCACCACCACACCCTGCTAATTTTTGTATTTTGGAGAGACGGGGTTTCACCATGTTGACCAGGCTGGTCTTGAACTCCTGACCTCAAATGATCTGCTAGTCTTGGTCTCCCAAAATGCTGGGATTACAGGCATGAGCCACTGTGCCCAGCTTGGTCTTTTGTTGTTGTTGTTGTTGTTGTTGTAGCGTTGTAGGAGTTCCTTACATAGTCTGAGTATTAGCCCCTTATCAGAAAGAAGATTTGCAAATATTTTCTGTCATTTTGTAATTTGTCTTTCCCCTCTTTGATTGTGTCCTTTGATGCACAGTAGTTTTAAATTTTGATGTAGTCTGTTTTACCTGTTTTTGTTATCTGTGCTTTTGGTGTCATATTCAGAAATCATTGCCAAATCCAATGTCATGAACCCCTAGGTTTTAGTAAGTGTGTTCTGACTGTTCATAACTTCTAACTAATCTGTAATTGCAGACTATATTTATTTTATATAGGAAAAAATAAACTCATCAAGCAGACTTATTTTAATAATTTATAGCTTTCTTATTTTAGGGTCAAAAGCTATGACTTGGGCTCTAGATTTTTCATTCTTTAGAATTTGTTAAGATTTTTCTTGAGGTTTAGAACTTTTCAATATTTGTAAATATTCTTGGACTTTAGAAAAGAAAGCATGTATTATCATTTTAGAGTTCAAAGTTATCTATATCTATTACATATGCATTTATTTTCCACATCCTCATATTTTTGGTCTATGTGATCTGTCAAATTCTTAAAGAAATGGGTTAAAAATTTTTAAATAAATTCTCCTTTTATTCCCATTACTTATTTATTTAAATATATTGGTGCTATGGGCTTGCACTTTAGAATTAGCATATCAGGATTTGAGTTCCATGTCCATGTATCACTGTGACACTACGAACATCATTTAATCTCACTGATGTCTAGTCCTCATTTGCAAAATGAAAAAAAGCATTAACCACAGTCATTCCATAGAATAGTAAGGATTATTTGAGAAGATGTATGTAAAGCACTCACCTCGATGCCTGGCATGTAGTGAGTGTCAATATTCACCATTTCTTTTATTGTACCTTTTATCAAAGTAAATTGGTTTTGTTGTCCTATTTAATGCTTATTTTTTGTATTCATTCATTCATTCATTCATTCATTCTTGAGATGGGGCAGGTGGCAGCAAGGGTAGCCTTGTGGTCTTGCTGTGTTGCCCAGGCTGGTCTCGATTTCTTGCCCTTAAGAGATCCTTCCAGCTGAGCTTACAGTCATGCACCACTGTGCCTGGCAGTGCTTGCTTGCCCCCTTTTTTTTTTTTTTTTTTTGTGAGAAAGCCAACTGACTATTGCTTTGGGAGCAGGGGGCTCAGGAGCTCTTGGTGGGGCGGGTCCTCTTCCTCTTCACCGTCACAGGCTTCTGGCTGCGCAGGATGGCGCTGGCCCTGCAGATAGCTGCCATGCGCAGGTCGGGGCGGTACTTGTTCTTGCGGATCATGTGTCTGGTGCGGCTGAACGTGGCGCGAACATTCTTGTTGTTGGTCCGCAAGTAGGAGGTGGCAGGCTTCCGCTGGCCGGATGTCCGCTTCATGACCACCACGACACCTTTGCTGTCACCACGCCCACAGTCTTGTGGTGAATCAGCCTGCTGTAGCGGAAGTAGTTGCGGGCCTTCAAGTTATTGGGCTCGGTGCTGTAGTTCAGCTTGTTCCTCTTGATCAGGAAACTGGAACAGTTCCGCACGACAATCCATTGCAGATGCGCAGACATGGCGGCGGCTCCTCTCGCGGCTGCGACCTGAGACGGAAAGACGAACAGGATTTTAAAAAAAATTTGTCCTACTTCCTGCATTAACTCCATTTTAGTGGGTGATATTTGGTCTTATTTGGTCCTCTTCCCCTTGCTTTTTTTTTTTTTTTTTTTGAGACGGAGTCTCGCTCTGTCCCCCAGGCTGGAGCGCAGTGGCGCCATCTTGACTCACTGCAACCTCCGCATCCTGGGTTCAAGGGATTCTCCTGCCTCAGCCTCCCGAGTAGCTGGGACCACACAGGCCCGCGCCGCCATTCCCAGCTATTTTTTTGTATTTTAGTAGAGACGGGCTTTCACCATGTTGGCCAGGTTGGTATTGATCTCCTGACTTTGGGATTCGTCCGCCTCGGCCTCACAAAGTGCTGGGGTTATAGGCGTGAGCCACCGTGCCTGGCGTGTGCTTTTAAATCATGAATTTCACTTTGATTTTATATTGTTACTTTGCTTCTTTTTGTCTTCACTTGTAACTTTGTTGGCCATCCATTTAATTTCAATCTTTCTATGTTTTATTTCAGATATTATTCATAAAGAGAATATAGTTGTATTTTCTTTTTTTTTTAGAGAGATTTTTGTCTTTCAGTACAAAAATTTAGCCCACTTGATTTATTGTTATTGATGCCAAGAATGTGTTCATACACCTTAAATTATGTTTTCTCTTTCTTATGCTTTGTTTTTCCTGTTTCTTCCTGACTTTTGTGGCATTTGTATTGGTTTCTTTGTATTTCTTTTTTCTCAAATCATTTGAAAGTTCTGCAAGAAGTTGTGGTCAGTATCTTTAAACTAAAAAAAAAAAACAACAACAAACTGATGTCCTTTAAATAAGTTATATGCTTATAAAGAAAAAGGGATATATCTTTTCTCTTTTTAAGACAGGATCTCTGTCACTCAGACTGGAGTGCAGTGGTACCATAATGGATACTGTAGCCTCAACTTCCTGGGCTTAAGTGATTCTCTCACCTCACCCTCCCAAGTAGTTGCCACCACACCCAACTAATTTGTTTATTTTTTGTAGAAACAGGGTCTATGTTTTGTCTCAAACTCCTGGGCTCAAGTGATCCTTCTGCTTTGGCTTCCCAAAATGCTGGGATTACAGGCATGAACTACTGTCCCTGGCAGTATATATTATTACCCATTCTCGTTTCCAAACATGATGAGACTTTTAAGAGTTAAAATTCTCTCCCCAAGGGCCCATACCACCCACATTTATTGAAATAAACTGGAATTTTAATTATATATTATTTTTAATAGTTCAATTTTTGCTTTTTCTATGCTATATAGCATTTATATTAGATTTTATAAAAACATGATCAATAATTGGATTTCATGGGGCTTTTACTCGCCAGCATTTTTTTTACTCTATTTACCTCTTTAGTCTTTTATTTAACTGCAAGTAGCATCAAATGCATTACAAAGAAGCTTAATTAAAAACTAGAATTTTGGCTGAGATAGTTCTAAGTTTCAAGCAGTTTGATGAAGGCTCCCAGTCTATCTCCAGAACTATTTTGTTTGTTTTGTGTTTTGATAATAACTATTCTTATAGTGTGAAGTAGTATCTCTTGTGGTTTTGATTTGTATTTCCCTAGTGGCTAATGATCTTGAGCACCTTTTCATGTGCTTATTAGCCATTTGTGTATCTTCAATGGGTAAATATCTATTAAGATCCTTTGTCCATTTTTAATTTGGATTGTTCAGTTGTTGAGTTGCAAGTGTTCTTTATATGTCTACATATTTATCAGACATATGATTTGCAAACATTTTCTCCCATACCATGGGTTATCTTTTCATCTTCTCGATACTGTCCTTTGATGTACAAAGGTTTTTAATTTTTATGAGTCAATTTATCTAGCTTTTTCTTTTGTTGCTCGTACTTTTAGTGTCATATTAAGAAACCTAATCCAATGTCAAAGAACTCTATAAAGATAATTTTATAGTTTCAGGTCTTACATTTAGGTCTGTGATCCCCTTTTTTTTTTTTTTTGAGACAGTCTTACTTTGTTACCCAAGCTGGAGTCAATGGTGAGATCTCCGCTCACTGCAACCTCCGCCTCCTGGGTTCAAGTGATCCTCCTGCCTCAGCCTCCCGAGTAGCTGGGATTACAGGCACCTGCCACCAGGCCTAATATTTGTATTTTTTAGTAGAGATGGGTTTCACCATGTTAGTCAGACTGGTCTCAAACTCCTGACCTCAGATGATCTGCCCACCTCGGCCTCCCAAAGTGCTGGGATTACATGCGTGAGCCACTGTGCCCAGCCTGTGATCAATTTTAAGTTACTTTTTGTATTTGCTGTAGAGTAGGTGTCAAATTCATTCTTTCGCATGTGGATATCCAGCTGTCCCAGCACCATTTGTTGAAAAGACTATTATTTTCCAATGCCTTGCATTATTTTGATACCCTTGTTGACAATCAATTGACCATAGATGCATGGGTTTAGTTCTGAACTATTAATTCTATTCTATTGATCTATATGTCTGTACTTATGTCAGATATATAGTCTGATTACTGTGGTGTTGATTACTATGGCTTTGTCATGATGTTTGAAATTGGGATGTGTAATACTCTGACTTGGTTCTATTTTCCTAAGTTTATTTTGGCTATTTTGGATCCCTTGCATTTCCATATGAATTATGGGATAAGCTTATCAATTTCTACAAGACAGGTAGTTGGAATTGAGAGAGATTATATTGCTCTGTAGATCAACTTGGAGGGTATTGCCATCTTAATGATGTTAAGTCTTTAAATCCAGTAATGCAGGATATCTTTCCTGCGTTACTTTCTTTTGACTTAGGTTTTCTTCCATTGACTTAGGTTTTCTTTCTTTTAATGATGTTTTGTAGTTATAGTATATAACATGTGTTCCATTTTATTTTTCAAGCTTCCAACATATCAATAGTAGCTCTCCTGAATCTATTTTTTCTCTCACAATTTTCATTTCCTCATATTTTTGCTCTACACTCTGGATTCTTTGAGATGGTCTTGTAATTTACTAATTCAGTTTTCAGCAGTATCTATTTTTTCTATTAACTGCGTCCATAGGTTTTTCATGGAAAAAAACTTAAATGGACATCTACTGTTTAATTCCAATGACATTCTGGTTTTCAGATATGCTTCATTTTCACAATCTGCCTGTTACTCTTTACATTTCACTAAGAACATTAACAAGGGGCCGGGCACGGTGGCTCACGCCTGTAATCCCAGCACTTTAGGAGGCAGAGGTGGGTGGATCGCCTGAGGTCAGTTCAAGACTAGCCTGGCCAACATAATGAAACCCCGTCTCTACTAAAAATACAAAAAAATTAGCCGGGCGTGGTAGCGGGCACCTGTAATCCCAGCTACTCGAAAGGCTGAGGCCAGGAGAATCACTTGAATCCGGGAGGCGGAGGTTGCGATGAGCCAAGATTGCTCCATTGCACTCCAGACTGGGCAATAAGAGCAAGACTACGCCTCAAAAAAAAAATGAACAAGATTTTATTTTTATTTTTGGTAAGAAAGCCAACTGACTCTTTATTGCTCTGGGAGCAGGGGGCTCAGGAGCTCTTGGTGGGGCGGGTCCTCTTCCTCTTCACCATCACAGGCTTCTGGCTGCGCAGGATGGCCCTGGCCCTGCGGATGACTGTCATGCGCAGGTCGGGGCGGTACTTGTTTTTGCGGATCATGTGTCTGGTGCCGCTGAGCATGGCGCGAACATTCTTGTTGTTCTTGGTCCGCAAGTAGGAGGTGGCAGGCTTCCGCTGGCCGGATGTCCGCTTCATGACCACCACGACACCTTTGCCGTCTGCTGCCGACTCCACGCCCACAGTCTTGTGGTGAATCAGCCTGCTGTAGCGGAAGTAGTTGCGGGCCTTCAAGTTACTGGGCTCTGCGCTGTAGGTTGGCTTGTTCCTCTTGATCAGGAAACTGAAACAGTTCCGCACGACCATCCATTGCATATGTGGAGACATGGCGGCGGCTCCTTTCGCAGCGGAGACCTGAGACGGAAAGACGAACAAGATTTTTTAGAGTTTTGTCCTACTTCCTGCATTAACTCCATTTTAGTGGGTGAAATTTGGTCCTCTTCTCTTTTTTTTTTTTGAGACGAAGTCTCGCTCAGTTGCCCAGGCTGGAGTGCAGTGGCGTGATCTCGGCTCAGCCGCCCAAATAGCTGGGACTACAGGTGCGTGCCACCGTGCCGAGCTAATTTTTGTATTTTTAGTAGAGACGGGCTTTCACCATGTTGGCCAGGATGGTCTCTATCTCTTGACTTCGTGATCTGCCTGCCTTGACCTCTCAAACTGCTGGGATTACAGGCGTGAACCACCACCCGGCCAGATTACTCTCACTTTTACCCTTGTTAGGGACTTGCCTTGTTTACTGATAAATCACCAATACTACTGGTGTGTATTATGCCATCTAACTCACAGTAGGTGCTCAATAGTATGTTGAATGAATGAAGAATGAATACCAGAGTCCTGTAATATTAGACTAAGGACCTTCAGTGACTGCCAGATTTGCTTTCATATTTCTAGGATCTAGTGTATTTGGCACTCGACAAATGGTCCTTGAACTAAACAGAGAGAAAACTGCACCGGTGGTTTTACTTTAAAGCTGCTTATTGTTCACAGTTTCCTTATCTTTAAATTGAAAGGTGTTCTGCTTCTGCCCAACCCCCACACACCCTACAGACCTTGTGATAGGTTGAGTTTTTCAAAAGATTCTCACCTGCTCTAACCTTAGAGCTTAGTTTATATTCACTAGGTGAATTTGAAATCTCAGGTTTCTACAGTACTGCCTTTTCCACATGTATGGCCAGTTCTCATGATGAGTTTACTAAGTGACTTTTAGCTATTGCTAATCATTTGCACCTTTCTATGTTGTAGTTATTTTAAAGCACACACCCCTCCATACACACACTTGAGTCAGGGTCTCTCTCTCTCTCTCTCTCTCTCTCTCTCTCACACCTAGATTAAAGTGCAGTGGCATGTTCATAGCTCCCTACAGAACTCCTGGGCTCAAGCAATCCTCCCGCTTCAGCCTCTCAAAGCACTGGGAATACAGACATAGCCACCGCGTGGGGCCAAAAACATAGGATTTTATTTACTAAACCTGTATTGTGTGCATGACCCAGAATTGACAGTACGGTAACGACCGACAAAGCCGTGTTTCCCACCCTCATGGCACTTAACA